AGTATTCTCCTCTCCTAGGGAGCTGAGAGTTCTCTTCATCAGGTCAATAGCTTTCTCTAGGATCCAGTCTGAGTACGGTACCCAGCTTCCTCCCTCTTCACTTGCGTGCAGGGATTTCTCCATCTCCTGCTTCCATTCTGGTTGCTTGGTCCCCCGTCTCAGGGTCACCTTTCTTGATTCCTTTCTCCACTCACTTTTCTTTCCAACGTTCATCGACCAGCGAGGCTTGTGGTCCTGTGTCTCCACCACTTCTTCTCCCGAGGAATCTGACCTCTCAGATCCCAACATCTGGCAAGGTTCCAACTGGGTCAGCGGCTCTCTTTCCAGGGAGTTTTCCCCCTCTCTTTCTCCATTGTCTGACATGGTAAATTTTTTGCAAAATCCCCCGGCAAGGGTCTCCCTTCCAGGTGGATTAATTTTGCAAGTCCTGTCTAATGTAAGGACCCACCCCACTTTGCATCTTAAGAAGACAGAACTCTTGGAATAATTCTTCCAACAGGAATCCTTTATTAAGAGAAAATGGTTGCAGGCATGCTAGACAGGACTTGGGGTTCAAGCTCTTCCATTCAAGGGGTTAAGGGGTTCCCCAGTAGTCCCACCCAATCAACCCCCCTTCCAGTGATAGTTTCAAGTATCACAATTCCGCCCCCTTTCTTCTTTCTTCCGTCTGGATGGGGACTTCAGATAACTACATGAAAGGCAACTACCCTCCATTGGTATGCTAACGCTTCGAGGTTACAATAAACACACATTCAGCATTCCGCTCTTTGAAGTGTAAAGAAGGAAGTGAGGGCCATAAAGCCCCTTTGTTCTCCCCCTTCTCTCCCTCTTATGGCAGAATCCAGAGAAGGCAGAATTGGGAGTTTCTATATTTGATAATTTAAAGATGAAATATAATTGGATTCTGACAGTTCTTCTGTAACTGCCCTCTCTGCAATTATAAGATCTTTTACTTCCTCCTTAATATCCAAAGCATGTTTTTTTAAAGCTTCTTGTAAATCTTTAAGAGAAATTGCAGGAGGAGGAGAGGGTGGAGGTGATTTTGGTTTCTGGGAGACAGGCTGGGTCATTGGGGAAGAGATAGTAGCTTTAGGAGGAGGAGGCAAACATTGTGAAGCCATTTTCATTAAGTTCTAAGAAGAAAGATTCTTATTTAAAAAAAAATAAAAAAAGGAAAAGAAAAAATCACAGTTCTTTTAAATATTCCTTAAAAAAGAAAAAAGAAAAAAACAAACAATAAAAAGACAAATTCTTGCTTCTATATTTGAAGCATTAGTCTGTATCCGGATTTTAACTTTGTAATGCAGATCAAACAAGAAAGACAATCGCCATTTTGCCTTTCACTTTCCCTTTCTTTAAAAGGGAAAGTAAACAAAAAAAGAGGGGGAAGATGCTTGCAGGAGTTAAAGTCACAATAAATCTTAAATCCACTTTCTCCTGGTGTGCTCCGTCTGCATTTGAATATTCACAAGCTCCAAAAAAAAAAACAGATGTGGGAGCGATGCCTTGCTTCATCCCAGAACTTCGGGACAAAGACGTCCTGGAGTGCGGAGTTGGCTCAGGCTCCGAGGGAGCTCTACCCTCCGATCCCTGAAATTATAGGGATCCAGGGGAGCTCTTACCTCTGCCTGAGCAGCTCTTTTCTTCCCTTTCTCCCAGGGAAGAAATTCAAGCCACAGGACAGCTGATTGTAAAAGTCCTGCTGCTTTTACACAACCCAGGAACGGGCTGCTTTGTGAAAAGCAGCCATCGTAGCCGCTTGATCCACAGGAAGTCTGAGATTGGTTGTTCCAGTCTCCTGAATGGGATGCCCAGATTCCCCACTAATGTTGGGCTAATGAGGCAGCGGGTGCAGCCAGAGTCTATTAAGGCTTTCACCTTCACAGCTTCGGGCATGGGGGGGATTAATATAGTCACTGTTTTGAAGATGGGTGTGATGCATCCACTTACCAGGGGTTCGCCCTCCGAGCTGTCATCTGAGGCATCCACCGTCCCTGTGGTGTAGGCTGGAGTTCTTTCCCCTTGGTGAGCAGAAGTGGGGGGTTCTGCAATTTCCATCATTCTCATGGCCGTTTCTTTTGGCTTAGCTGAAGACTTTCTGGATTTGTTGATTGGGGATCTGTCTGGGTTGTGCTGGGGGGCCTTTGAGCGGCATTCTACAGCTTGATGCCCTTCTCTTCCGCACTTAAAACACCCCATTTGCTTCTTGGCTGTAGCCGATGATTTCATCGGTTCGTGTGTCAGCTCAGGCGGGGGGCGGCTCCATTGTTTTCCTCGGCGGTGCCTCTTCAATATGTCGATCTCTGCTTCCTCTGCCAAGACGTACCATTCCTCAAGTCGGTGTGGGTCCCCTCGGGGCAGGCAAGCATCATATAGATCATAGTTTAGTCCGTCTTTGAAATGGCTAAGGAGGATGTCTTCTGGCCAATTTGCTGGCAATGCCCCGGAATTCTTGTGTATATTCAGCCACCGGGCGTTTGCCTTGCCTCATCGTTTTTATCCTTTCACGGGCTTTGCGATCAGCCAGGGGATCTTCAAATCATCTTCTCAAAGAGGACATGAAACGGTTGAAGTTACTGAGTTCTGGGGCATTGGAGTCATGCAAGTTCACCACCCAATCTGCAGCCGGTCCATCCAGGGCAGATTGCACGATCCGGATGCGGGCTTTGTCACTGGGAATGTCCTGCCCGTATTCCTCCATGTAGCTGAGAACTTGGGTTAAGAAAAACCCCAAGCGTGTTGGCTCCCCTTTGAATTTCACCTCCAATGGTGGACGTCTTGGAATGGATCAGTGCCTCCGTTGTTGGTGGTAGTGTCTTCCGTCCAGATTGCCATCTGTGGTCCGGTAGGGGGTGGAGGCTACTGGATCAGTAGATGTCCCCTGGGTTGCAGGTTCCACGTCCCCCTCGGTGTCTCTCCCTTTGCGGCTCCAGGAGCTGGGGCGGCCGTAGGGCTCAGGATTCTCCTCTCCTAGGGAGCTGAGAGTTCTCTTCATCAGGTCAATAGCTTTCTCTAGGATCCAGTCTGAGTACGGTGCCCAGCTTCCTCCCTCTTCACTTGCGTGCAGGGATTTCTCCATCTCCTGCTTCCATTCTGGTTGCTTGGTCCCCGTCTCAGGGTCACCTTTCTTGATTCCTTTCCCCACTCACTTTTCTTTCCAACGCCCATCGACCAGCGAGGCTTGTGGTCCTGTGTCTCCACCACTTCTTCTCCTGAGGAATCTGGCCTCTCAGGATCCCAACATCTGGCAAGGTTCCAACTGGGTCAGCGGCTCTCTTTCCAGGGAGTTTTCCCCCTCTCTTGCTCCATTGTCTGACATGGTAAATTTTTGCAAAATCCCCCGGCAAGGGTCTCCCTTCCAGGTGGATTAATTTTGCAAGTCCTGTCTAATGTAAGGACCCACCCCACTTGGGTCCTTACATTAGAACTCTTGGAATAATTCTTCCAACAGGAATCCTTTGTTAAGAAGAAGTGGTTGCAGGCGTGCTAGACAGTACTTGGGGTCCAAGCTCTCCCATTCAAGGTTTTAAGGGGTTCCCCAGTAGTCCCACCCAATCACCCCCCCTTCCAGTGATAGTTTCAGGCATCACAATTCCACCCCTTTATTCCTTTCTTCCATCTGGATGGAGACTTCAGATAAACTACATGAAAGGTAAATAGCCCCCTTTGTTATGATAAGGTTCTTTGGTGCTAACTACATTAAAACTCTTTGAGGTTGCAATAAACACATTCAGTTCCTTAGAAGTATACTGAAGGAAGTGAGGGCCATAAAGCCCCTTTGTTCTCCCCCTTCTCTCCCTCTTATGGCAGAATCCAGAGAAGGCAGAATTGGGGTTTTCTATGTTTGATAATTAAAGATGAAATATAATTGGATTCTGACATTATGCTTTCTTTCTTTAAGAGAACAATTACAGTATATTATGCTTCTGTTTCCTCATCATTATTATCAAAACAACTCTGAGAACCTTAGACTGAGGAAGTTGTGAATTTCTATGTATACTCAGACTTGAATATTTTTCTATCTAGTATAGTATTCTCATTATTACACTATTCTTTTCTGTGTGTAAAATAACATTGTGAGAATACATTTTTGCTATATCATCATCAATGTACTATGATGCATGCACTGGCAACATTTATTTTTTTAATTTTATTTATTTATATGTCACCTTTATTATTTTTACAAATTACTCAATATGACAAACATTCAATGCCTCCCATTTTTCCCACAATAAAAAACCCTGTGATGTGGGTTGGATTGAGAGACAGTACTGGGCCAATATCACCCAGCTGGCTTTAATTTTTATTAACCATATTGCTTAAGACAAAATCAAATGTCAGGGTGGGGGAAGATAAACTGGAGGACAATGTGGAGTCCTCATTTTCTGGCAGATAAATATTAATTTCTGCTACAGATATGGGTCCATGAATTTGCAGTTCCCATAGTATTGAATGAAAGACTGCAGAGAAGAGCAACAAAGATGATTCAGCACTGGAGGTTAAAACATATGAAGAACAATTGTAGGAATTGGGTATGTTTAGTTTAATGAAAAGAAAGAATAGGGGTGATATTTTAAAAGTGCATTGATTTTAAGAATCCCAAACTGTGAAAGTCTTCCCCTTTGATGTAGATTTTGTTACCTACTATGTTTACTATTAACCTACTATGTTTACTATTTTATCAATGAATACATTTTTATCATTTCATGATATATAACTCTGATGTAAGAGACCTGTAGCTACAGTAGATTTCCTAGATTTCAAAATAGATCAGAGAACGTGATTCCATGTAATATAATAAGAATGTTTGCAAATGTTTGTATAATTCAAGTAACTTAAACAGGTACTGACAGAACTCAGTGCATTTAGACCAGACATAGATGGTCTAAATAGTAGTCAAGGTAATGTTAGAGAAACAGGATTTTCCTGTAATACTCCTACTATATGCACAACTTTGAAGTAATATGGATGACTTTGTGCAATGGTTGTGTTCTTCTCAGGCATTCTTTGTGAAGGAATATGTTCTGAACCACCCAGAGGATGGAGAAAAGATCACATGCTTAAGAGAACTGATGCTTGAGCAGGTAAAAGAAAATTCAAGCAAGCTGCTTTCAATCTATTTTAACCGAATTGGCATATACCTAGGAAAAAACATTACATTGTAGCAATTTTCCATTCCAATCCTCTATTGAGGATTTTTCAAGTATTTAGAAGGACTGGACAGGGAAGAACAAGCAACCTTGTTATTAATTAGCAAAGGAATAATATGATAACTTCTTCCAGTACTTGAGGGATTTGAGAGAAGGGGGGGGTCAACCTATTCTCCAAAGCACCTGAAGGCAGGACAAGAAGCAACATATGGAAACTAATTAAGAAGAGAAGTCACCTGGAACTAAGGAGAAATTTCCTGACAGTGAGGACAATTAATCAGTGGAATGACTTTGCCTATGGAAGTTGTGGGTGCTACAACACTGCACATTTTAAAGAAGAAATTAGACCAGCATTTGTCTGAAATGGTATAGGGTTTCCTGCTTGAGCAGGGAGTTGGACTAGAAGACCTCCAAGGTCCCTTCCAACTATTAGCAATTTACTAATTTACTAACCTAAGAGTGATGTTAAGAAGTGGCTAAACAAATAGGGTTTTGTTCTCAATATCTGTATATACATTGCAATAATAATCCATTGTAAGGAAGTATGGATAAAGAGCAAATAAATTCCATCTGGCTTAGTGAAGATAGGAAAGCAGAAATAAAGCTGTGATTTTAAGTAATTTCCAATATTATCTTGTAATTTTAATTCTCTCTTCCTCTAAAATTGATAATGAAATGTTTAAACTAGACAATTGTTGAAATGTATTATTGTATGTACTAATTTGTGCTGGGTTTCATATCTGGTCATTGTCTTTGTATGGAGCTCAGAATAGCCAGTAGCACTCCTTGAACAGTGCTATCAAAAGCGAGGCAATTAAATAGATAGAACTCTGATTAAATCTCATAATACATTGTTTAATGATCTTAAATGAGACGAGAATTTCCATCACTATGTGAAGCAAAAACACATGTGATTGCATTACTTAGCAACAGCAGTTCTGGTAGCCATAGTTGCGGTTTTTAGGATAGGACCATCTCATCATTAGACAAGAACCTCATGCTTCCTTGCAGTGCTTGCTTTGGTTTTCCCCACCCAGCTATTTCCACCCACTGCCCTTTTGGCTGCCCTGTACTCCACTGCCATCTAGCCTGCTAGTCCCTACCACTCTAGCTGACTTTTGTTGTCTTCTTCCTGCTGCTGCTGAGGCACACCTAGTCCTTCCTGAGGCCTTGGGGGGCTTCAAGAACACTGTGCAAGACCTCCCTGAGGCATAATGAAGGCCAGCAGCTGCCTAGGTCAAGTGCACCTTGTCAGCAGCAGGAGGAAGAAAGCAGTGAAGGTAAGCATGGTGCAAGGGCGGGGAGGGCAGAAAGGCCAAAAGAGCAGAGACAGGAGAGATAGGCAGGTGGGGGGGGGGAGGAGTGAAAGTACCTGCAGCAATTATAAATGCAGGTGGGCAACCAAGAGCCCAAATTTGGATCATATGTTTGTGGGAGGCAGTGTAGTGGCCATAACTTTAAGGGCTGGTCATAACTACTACTCATTCAGCATCATTATAACTTCATACAGTCACTGAACAAATGGTTGCTAAGTGAGGCCTATGTGTATCAGAGGTAATGTATTAAAAAGTCTGATCTTGGAAGTTTTCAGTTTGATTTATAGCTTATTGTCTTGCCCAAATCAAGCAAGCTTTATTGTTAATTTTAACTGTTATATATTTGAAGTAAGATTTGATTAGCAATTGGCATTGGAAGCTGGCTTATTTCATCAAAACTTCGTAGTTCCTTCTTGGAGGAAAAATATAATTAGGGTTCAGATAAAGTACTAATCTTTGATTAATGAGTGCCTGACATTAATTGGTTTTTAGTTCCATCACTAAATCGTGAGTCATCCATACTGTCTCAGTAAGAGCTAAGTATATAGCATTAATAGTACAAATTCCTGAGCTGTATTACTGTAGAATTGAACTCTCTCTCTCTCTCTCTCCCTCTCTCTCTCTCCCTCCCTCCCTCCCTCCCTCTCTCTCTCTCTCTCTCTCTCTCTCTCTCTCTCTCTCTCTCTCTCTCTCTCTCTCTCTCTGTGTGTGTGTGTGTGTGTGTGTGTGTATTCAAATAATTTGTTTTGGTTTTTATTCTAAGGCCCAGATTCTTGAATTTGGTTTAGCTGTACATGAGAAGTTTGTCCCACAGGATATGAGACCTTTACATAAAAAACTGGTGGATCAGTTTTTCGTGATGAAATCTAGTTTAGGAATACAGGTATGTGAGATTTATGCTGACAGGTCTTCTAAATACATAATATATTTGAAGCCCAATACAGAAATATCTGCATCTAAAATAACATTTTTATTAAGCAATAAACACTGACATCTTCTGGCTGCATGGCTATCTTGCTTTTCTTAAAACTTGACTTCAACTTTTCCCACAAAATAGTACGATGTAAAAATATCTTTAAAACAGTAATTCTTATTATCAAATTTGAATTTAGGAATTTGCTTCATGTATCCAGTCCAGTCCAGCTCACTTTCCAAATGGAAGCCCATGTGTCTCTCGAAATTCAGTCCCTATTTCCATGAGTCCAGAGGTGGGCAGAATTCCTAGATATGGGTAAGTTAAAGCTACAAACAAATAAATAAAAAAGCTTCCTGTGGTTCTAATTTAGGGACATCTTTTATAAAGTGTATAACAAGATGGGATAATATTCAAAAAACTTAAGACAGTTCTGATCTTCTAAAACAGTGATTCTCAACCTATCTAATGCCGTGACCCCATAATACAGTTCCCCATGTTGTGGTGACCCCCAAGTGGGTGTGGCCACCAATAAGAGGGAGTAGGACAGCTAGGGAAAAGGGAAAAAAATGGCGGACAGCATGGTTTGGTGACCCCCGTGAAATGGTCATTCGACCCCAAATGGGGTCCCGACCCACAGGTTGAGAACCACTGTTCTAAAATGATTGTATATAGCTGCCAAGAGAGGTTATGAAGTATTCATGAAAGGATTGGGTAGGTTACTGTGATGGAAGGGGTAATGTTGGGGAAAAATAGTTTGATAGAGAATTTTTATTTCTCTGTTGGTAAAAATAAATCAGAAGCTCTCAAAGTTGACTGCATTTAGCTGATTCAAATAACCACTTTATATTCATATTAAAATATTTACAATACCATACAGCAACATAGCACAATGAAGACTTCTTACAGAGAGATACAGAGACAGACCTGAGATTGAATAAAAAAATCCAGCTCCTAACTCAATACCTTTTTTGCACAGACTCAGTAGCACTTTTCTCACATTGGCTGACTGAGTTACCACATGACTCTTCCTGCTCATGAATATTCCAACACTCCTCCCTTCATGACAGGAAGAGACATCAGACCTATTGACTTAATACATTCTCCATAGTGAACACCACCCAATGGTTTAGTCATCATGTCTGCCAAATTATTCTCAGAAGAACAATGATGTAAACTAATCAATTTTTCTTTTACAGCTTCCCTGACATTACAATATTTAATGTCTACATATTTACTTCTGTTCTTCACCCTGTCACCAGTTGCCATTTTTATACAGGCAGCATTGTCTTCAAATACCTTTACAGATTCTTTTACATTAATATTTAAATCTTGCAACAACTGTACATACCATGTTACTTCAGAATACAATTCAGATAAAGCAATAAACTCTGCTTCCGCTGTTGAAATAGCAACAATTGTTTGTTTTATGGACTTCCATCCAATCAGAGTCCCTCCAAACAATATTATAATCCCAGAATTTGATTTCTTTGTGTTTATGTCATTTGCATAGTCACTATCGACATAACACTTTAATTTCAATTCCTCAGTAATCTGTATTTGAAGATTCAAATTTATGGTTCCCTTTAAATATCTGAGAACCCTTTTTACACCCATCCAATGTAACTTTGTAGGTGCAGCAGTAAAACGACTTAAAATGCTTACTGCGCAAGCTATGTCTGGTCTGGACCACTGTGATAGATATAACAAACTCCCTATTGCTGAGTGATATATCTCTTGATTGTAGGTTTTACCTTTGTCCGCACTTAAACTATTATAAAAATCCATACTCATGGGTGTGGGAGCAGTATTGCTATCTTTCATATTATATTTTTCCAATAACTGCTCAATTTTTCTCCTTTGACTGAGAATATAACCACTTTTTTCATTTTTCTGTATCTCTACATCGAGATAATTTTTTATTTCTCCCAAATTCTTTAATTCGAATTTCTTTCCTAATTTATCAGCAAATTCCTTGACTTGTGATGCATCCTTTGCGATGAAGCAAAGATCATCCACAAATGATAACAGTAGACAATTCCCTCCTTGTAACTGTCCAGTATATATATATATAATTATCAGCTTTGCAACTCTTAAATCTAAGACCCTTTAAAGCAGTATATAAACAGATATTCCAGTTTCTGGCTGACTGCTTCAGCCCATAAATAGCCTTGTTTAATTTATACACCATGTTAAGCTTTGCAATTTCATACCCTGGTGCTTGGATCATATAAATTTCTTCCTCTAACTCAGCATTGAGGAATGAAGTTGTGATATCAAAGTGCCAGATTTTATGCTTATATGCTGCTGCCAACGCCAGTGCTAATCTTATACTTTCACTTTTCACAGTTGGCGCAAATACTTCATCATAGTGCACATTCTTTAATTGTGAAAAACCTTGTGTCACTAACCTGGCCTTATACTGTACATCATTATTTGGCAATACCTTTTTCTTATATACCCACTTACAACCCACAGCTTTGGTTCCCTGTGGCAAAGTCACTGATTTAAATATTTCATGGTCTCCCATGGATTTCATCTCTTTATCCATGGCCTCCTTCCATTTTTCTTGTTCAGCTTTTGGTAATGCCAACACCTCTTTATAACTTCTTGGCTCATACCACACATTGCAAACCTTTACCTTGCTGACAGAATCAGGCAGAATTCCTTTGTTACATTGCTCTGACCTACGTGGTATTAACTGCTCCTGTGTCTCAAGTCTTTCTGGCTTCATGTCTTGTTCAGCCTCTCCTCCCTGAACATTGACATCTTCAATAATCATTTTTCCATCATTAGATGAGTTATTGTTATTAAATAGATCACCATCATTAATTGAGACATACCCAGAATTTGCATTAATTCTGTCCCAATTTTGTTCTGCAAAATTAGCAGACCTTGAAATTACAATTCTTTTACTTCCATCGCTAAAGCGATATCCTTTGGACCCTGGCTCATAGCCCACAAACCTGAGCTTTCTTGCCTTTTGCTGTCCCTTTCTTCTGATTGCCTTCGGAATATGTACCCATGCAGTACTTCCAAAAATTCTCAAGTGTACCAGCGATGGCTTTCTCCCATATAGAATGGCATATGGAGGATTATTAATGGAGGAACTCTACAGTCTGTTAACTATATAATTGGCAGTTAATATGGCTTCTCCCCAATATGACCTGCTCATACCAGAATCCTCTAATAATGAATCTTTCATTGTTTGCAAAACACCATTCCTTCTTTCAGCTACACCATTCTCTGCTGCTGTGTAAGGATTTGTACGTCTGTGTCTTATCCCCAACTGCCACAACCATTGTTGGAATTAAGTTGACATAAATTCAGTACCTCTTTCAGTTTGCAACTGACATACTTGTTGTCTGTACCTTCTCTCTACAAAACTTAGCCACTGTTTGAATTGTTGTAGCACCTCTGTCGTACCTTTGAGCAAGTAGCAAAACCCATACCTGCTGTAATCATCAACAATTACCAGTGCATACTTTGCTCCTCCCAAACTAGCTTGCATAGATCCCATCAGATCTGCATGGACCAGCTCTAGAGCTCTTTTTGTTTGTCTTGTGCTATATTTACTAGCTGGGAATGCCTTTGACTTCGATGCTTTACATACTGCACAGTCCAAATATGTTTTGCATCCCTTCAAATTTAGCCCTTCTGCAAACTCTTGTGTTTGCTGCAAAACCTTAAAGCTTGCATGGCCAAGTCTTCTATGTAGAAGATGAACACATGAATTGTGTTCTGCAACATTCTTAAATATATGGGAACATTGAACCTTTTGTCCCTGCAATACATATAGATTATCTTCCTCTATGCCTTCTGCACAAATATTCCCATTCCTCTTGATGAGACACTTTCCATTTACAAAAATGGTCTCAAAACCTTGTTTGTCTAAATTAGACACACTTAACAAATTATGTTCCATCTCAGGTACACAAAGCACATTGGTAAACTTTGATTCCAAATATGGAATTTTTACATCGCCTCTTCCGATGACTTTTGCTTTCTGGCCATTTGCCAAAGCCACAGCTTCTTTTTTTTTTATTGAAAATTTTTATAAATTTTTACAAAAAAACAGAAGAATAACAATACAACAAAAACATAGACAAGAAACTAAACAAAACAAACAAAACAACCCTATCCCTACCCCCCCAAAACCCCCACTCCCTCCCCCCCAGAACTTCCCAGAGCAGAATATAGGCTTAATTAAAAAAAAATAAAAAAGTTATATGAAAAAAGAGAATATAACTAAGATATATGTATGTATATAAAAATAAAAGTTATAAAAAAGCTAAATAATATTATTTTATATCCAATTTAAATTGTATAAACTTTATCCATTTATCCCAAACAGCAAAAAATTTCTCTTGCGATTGTTCTTTTAAAATCTTTGCCATTTCCGCCAAATAAGACACTTTAAGAAACCATTCCTGCAAAGTAGGCAAGGATTCCTTTTTCCAGTATTGTCCTACTAACAGCCTTGCGGCTGTAATCAAGTTTAACATCAATATAACCTCCTTTGTGTCACAATCAGTAACTATACCTAACAAAAATAATTGTGGAGTAAATTTTACCCTCCTTCTAAAAATTCTTTGAATATTCCACCATATCTTAATCCAGAAGGCTTTTATATTTCTACACGACCACCAAATGTGATAATAGGTGGCATCCAAACAACCACATCTCCAACATTTAGGCTGTAGGTCAGGGTACATAAAAGACATTTTTTGTGGGTCAAGGTGCCATCTATAAAACATTTTATAAAAATTCTCCCTTAAATTCTGTGCTTGTGTAAATTTAACATTTCTCACCCAAATGGTTTCCCAGGTATCCAGTAGGACTGGTTCACCAAAATTCTGTGCCCATCTGATCATACAATCTTTAATTAATTCTGTTTCTGAATCCAATTCCACTAGAACCCCATAAATTCTCTTAATATGAGTTAGTCTTTGGTCCTTCACTTGCTTAATAAAATTTTCATCTTCTCTGAGAAAACCCACCTTACGATCCATCTTCCATCTATCTACTAATTGCCTATATTGAAACCAAGTATAAGTAATGTTTTCATGTACTAACTCTTCCAGTAGTTTTAACTGCCAATTTTGTCCATCCCATCTAAGTAACTGTGTATAAGACACCATGTCCATTTTAACCCCTCTTTTTATTCCTTCTATCGCATGCCAAGGTATAGCCCATAGTGGTATTTTAGAATCACTTTTATAATATTTTCTCCAAACCTTAAGTAAAGAAACTCTTATGATATGAGATTTAAAAGCCCGATCCACTTTTTTATTAAATATTAAATAGGCATGCCAGCC